TCTCTCCCATCTTCTCCCTCCCTTTCGCCCTCCCTCCCTCCCTCCCTTTTTCTCTCCCTTTGTTCCTACCTCCTTTCTCCCCTCCGTCCTTTCCTCCCTCCTTTCCTCCCCCCTTTCCTCCCTCCTTTCCTCCCTCCTTTCCTCCCACCCTACCTCCCTCCCTCCCTTGCCGGCCCCCTCTCTTCTTCCCTTCCTCCCTCACTCCCTTCCTCCCTTCTCCTCTCTCCCTCTCTCCCGCTCTCCCTCTCTCCCTCCCTCCCTCCTCTCCTCCCTTCCTGTCTCCTTCCCTTCCTCCCTCCTCTCCTCCCTTCCTGTCTCCCTCCCTCTTCCCTTCCTCCCTCCTCTCCTCCCTTCCTGTCTCCCTCCCTCCCTCCCTCCCTCCAGTATCTAGTGTCTCTTACCGTTCTTGCACTTCGAAACTGCTCTGTGCAGGATGAACACAATGGTGATAGAGGAAGAGGGAGCTATTGGGATGCCATTCTGCAGCCTGAAGCACGCATAGGATGGACGCCATGGAACCGGGGTGGGACTTCGACCTATGAGGACTTTGGCAATCTTTGTACAGCTTTGCACCAACTTCGTACCAACTTTGTACCAAAGGAAATGCTGGAGCTGAGTATTCTACTGGAATGGAGCTTTGTTGGAGCTAATCTTTGGATCCATATATAGGGCACCACACCTTGGGACCATCATCAAACCGTCTTGGAACAATCTTGAACCATCCTGGAACCATTTCGGGGCCGTTTTGTAGCCATTTTGGAACAATTTTGGAACAATTTTGGAACCGTGTTGAAACCGTTTTGAACCATTTCGGAACCATTTCGGAACCATTATGGAACCATTTTCGAACCATTTTGGGAACCAACTTGGAACCATTTTGGAACTAGCTTGGAAGCACGTTTCTGGTCTTTGAACCATCATGGAAACGTCTTGGTAGCATATTGGAACTAGTTTGCAACCATCTTGGGACCGTCTTCACTTGGAACCATTACCATCTTGGAACTCTTTTGGAACCACGTCGGAGAAAGCATCTTCTAACCATCTCGGAACCATCCTCAACCAGCTTGGTACCATCTTGGGACCATCCGTGGAACCATCTTGGAACTAGTTTCGAACCGTCTTGTAACGACGATGCCTGGATGGTTGGATCCATACGGGACTCAGAAGTATTCAAAAGTATTGAACATATTCTAGAGGTGCCAGTTATTGTTGTCTGCGCCCGTGAATGGCTTTACCAAAAACAGCACTTCTGGTTATCCTGCCGAGTCCTCTTCTCTGCGATGCCTCCACGTACAGTAGCAAATCACGTCTGTGACTGTTGTCCAACCAAGCACATCTTTCAACTGCAACAACTTTGATATTGCATGCGGGGCCTCCATGGGCATGCGGGGTATAGTTCGAGGGGCTTCTCAAGCTGCTGTCTTTCTGGAGTAGAACCCCTAGTCAGGCCATACTCGCTCTTGGGCCTTTTTGACTGCTCTGGACGTGATTGTAGCCAGATGCGTCCAGGTCCAGCTGCACTTGCGTCCAGAGACATTGAGAAAAGCGTGAGTATGCCCTCATTGTGTCCCTATCTGAAGCTGCCATATTTCCTGAATAGAGCGCTGGGGCGAATCTATCCATATTCATATAGGTCATAATTCAGGTTAGATACGGAGGCATTAACCCTATCCATATTCATATAGGTCAGAACTCAGGTCAGATACGGAGGCATTAACCCCACGTTCCATGGTGCAAATCTATCTGTTTTCATACAGCTCAGAACTTAGGTCAGCTACAGAGACGTTGACCACACAGTCCATGTGGGTCTGGGCTGTTGTCACACGCACGGAAAAAGGAGAGGGGGGGGTTGGTGCTGAAGGGTGTTGAGGGGGGTCCGAGTGATGGAGGAGATTGCTCGCTGCTCTTGGGGGCAGTTTGGAGCTGCCTCCTGAACACTCACATGCACGGGAAGGTACCCTCCTGAACCCTCGCATGCACAAAAAAGGGGGGGGGAAGGAGGGGAGAGAGAAACAAACAAACAAACCAAAAAAACAGAAGAGAGAAGCTGAAGTTGCCCCGCATATAGATACAATGACAGGGTGTTCTATTTGGATGGAGGTGGTAACTTGCTTGAGGCCTCACTTTCCAGAATTCGGCATTTCTAGCGGTAGGTTGATTATGAAGATCAATGGCTGAAAAAGGGAGAATCTTCGGCCTGGGTAAAATGGACCCTGTCCCCCATAGGTTCCATGCAGGCCTCGATAGAAGGAACTGTCCGTCACACCTTCGTCGCGTTGAGGATTGCGTGTACGCAGGTGTACGGCCTTGCTTCGATGGTATGCAGGCGTGCAGCCCTACTTCGGTAGTACGAGAGCGTGCAACCCCTCTGTTGGTTTCCTAATTTGGCAGAACTTGATTGCTGGAATCTTCAAGTGCTTGTTGTGCATTGCTGGAATTCTAGTCTGGCTGCCGTCTTGTGTGTGGCCTTTGATTAAACCGCGAGTTCACACGAGCCTAAGCTGATGAGGCTACCTTCGAAGGCTCGCGACCCTGCAACTGCGCCTTTTCGAAGTGGCCTGCCGCTTTTGCTACCGGCCTAGTCCCAAATAGAAATACTCTTACCGCGTATGCTGGAGATAGGACTACTTAGGTTTGCGTGAACAAGTGGTTTAAAGAAAGGAATGATGGATTATTATGCTGTGGTGGAACGAAGTGTTGTTGTGTCTTTTGAGAAGTATGTTCTTGAGAAGGGGGAAAAGGGAGGGAGGGGAGGGGGGGGGGAGGGTGTTGGGTGTGATGGGCCTCTGACTGTTGGTTTCCTAATTTGGCAGGGTGCACATGCTGCAACGAAGGCACAGCTTGACCGCACAGAGCAAAGCCTTGCGCAGTCCAATGCCGCTCTTGGATCGCATCAGAGCGCTTTGGCTTTGGCCGGAGAGAAGTACCAATTTGTGCAGGAGCTGAGGGACTTTGTATCCATTCTTTGCGACTTCCTTAAGGTCTTTCCCTCTCTCTCTCTCTCTCTCTCTTGTACTCTCTCCTAATTTACACAGCGAAATGTGAGTTTTTTTGCGGCGCCAAAACAGAAAAGAAAAGAGAGAAAAGAAGAAAGAAAAAGAAGAAAGATGTGTGCTGCCTTGGCTCTGTCATGCCTTGTTTCTTTGTTATTTTTTGGTTTGTCTTGTTTGTGAAGGATGTTGTGCCTTTTGTGCTGTTCCTTTTGCTCTGTTTGTTTGTTTTTTTTTCCTTTTTGCAGCAGGAATTTCGCTCTCTTTGTCATTTCATCTTGCTTTTTTTTTCTCCCCCCCCCCTTCTTAGAACACAGTTCACCGGACACCGGAAGCTAACCACTGAGGATCCAGAGGCTTCAACTGGGCCTTTTCTTAGTGGTCCCCACAGGTGACTACCAGCCTAGGTCCAAAGCGGTATGCTCTTACCGTGTACACCCGTAAGAGCCCGACTTAGCTTCAGGCGAACTGGTGGTTTAATCCACCACTAGCTCTCCCCGACAAAGTCTTTCAGGCTTCAGCGAATTGGTTTACATCCGCATTCTTCTGGGGCTCGGTCTTCCACGGCTTCGTGGGCTGGCGGTGCTGGCGCAAAAAGAAAAAAAGAAAAGAAAAAGAAAGAAACAAAAAAGAAAAAAAAAGAGCGCCAGGCCAGTTGGTTGTGGACTTGGTGTGCAGCAGAAAATCCGCGATCGGGAAGAAGAGGCTCGGTGGTGGTGGTGGTTTAAATCCCTCTTAATAAGTTCGTTTTGCCGTCTGTCCTCTTTTTTTTTTTTTTTTTTTTTTTTTTTTTTTTTTTTTTTTTTTTTCCCTTTGCTCTCTTTCGTACTTCCTTCAATCGTGTTACTCTCTCTTTTTTTTTTTTTTTTTTTTTTTTTTTTCTGTGAAACGTGCTGCTTAGTTGTAAATGGACATATACCTGGACATATATCACCGGTCCTGCACAAGGTTCCTGTATGAAAGATTTAAAAAACCCCGTGCCATGTTCAAGATGCCGAGAAGAAGTATGCATGTATGATTAGATGGATGAGACTGGAGAGGGATAGGTACATTTTACTGAGACTACCTAGCGTCTTTTCCCGAACATAGACTGTGGGCAAGTCCGACGTCAAGAAATTGGGGGGACCGGTAGCACAGTTTCATCAGGGCTACCGGCAGTATAGTGTGGAGAACCGAAAGAGTGGCAAAACTGAAAATGTGTCGAATTCCGTCCGCGATTTATTTCGTGGTCTAAATGATTTTTTTATTTTTTTAAAAATATTTTTCCTGAAAAGATCACGAGCAAATCTACGGGCCCTCCCAATTTCAGGGTTTTTGACACATTCTTCGGAGCACGAAAAATCGCTGAAGTTGGAGTATTTTTCCCATTGGCCCACAAATGGCACAGTGGCAAAACTGGAACATGCACCGAATCGGTGCGGCCATTGTTTTGACGTCAAAATGATTTTTTTAATTTTTTTCTGATATTTTTCCTGGAAAGATCATGATGAAATCTACGGACCCTCGAATTTTCGAAGTTTTCTGCGAATACTTCTAAGCGTGAAAAATCGCCAAAGTTGCCGATGTCAAATTAAGGGACTAGGCCTGCTGTTTCGGCCTCCGGTCGCCGCCCTCCCTCAAAACCCACCCGAACTTACAGGGGGGGGCTATTTGCCGCTGTCGGAGGGAGTGGTGGTTTAAACCACCAACTCACACGAGCCTAAGTCGACGAAGCTACCTTGCAAGGCGCACGAGCCTGCAACTGCGCCTTTTCAAAGTGGCCTGCCCCTTTGGCTACCGGTCCAGCCCCGAATGGAAGTGCTCTTTCCACGTATATGGGTAAGAGCACTACTTAGGTTCGTGTGAGCCGGTGGTTTAAAGCCGTATCTGGCCTGGGAATTGGCCAAAATGCAGATATAATGGCAATTTGTCATGTTTCGAGGAAGATGGTAGGTCAAATCAAATATGATGATTTGATTCGATCAAGTCCGGTCTGCCTTGAAAAACGGGAATTAAAAAACGCCAAACGGGGGCCATCGAAGGCGACGCGGGAATTCTCTTAAAATTGGGAACTTATGTTTTTTCAAGATTTTCGATACCAATGTTTCCAGAAGCGCATTGAGAGGAAGTATCAGTCACATACTGATTAAAGAATATGCTAGCTGACAAATCGTGACGATGTCGTTTTTCCCCTTTCTGTTGCTGGCAGGACAAGGCACCCATAATAGAAGAACTGGAGGAGCATATGCTGAAATTACATGAGGTGAGTGGAAACTATTCAGCTGATCGCGACTGGATTTGAACCTGGGTCTGTATTTCAACAGTTCGGGGGTGTACCAACTGAGCTAGGCTTGTAGGTGGGTTAGTGTACCAACTGAGCTAGGCTTGTAGGTGGGTTAGTGTACCAACTGAGCTAGGCTTGTAGGTGGGTTAGTGTACCAACTGAGCTAGGCTTGTAGGTGGGTTAGTGAAAACTAAAATGAAGGGGAGTGGGAGGTGAGTGCAACTGGATGGTATTGGAAATTTATAAGGAGCCAGAAGCTTGTTTTTCTGTTTGTCCCACAACAATTCCTGGAGCAGCAGATAGGACCAGGCCAAACCTGGTTCCACTGAGATCACTTGGCAGGTGGGCTGTGGGTGTGCCTTACCGCATTGTATCTTTTCTGTTTGATGTTTTTCTTTAAAGAAAGAATCTCAAAACGTTGTGGGCATATGATTATGGCTCCGCTCTTTTCTGGCGAGCATCGGTCTGGTTCCATGTTCCAATGGCCCCAGTGAGACCAGGTCTGACCGTGGTCCTATGGCCCCAGTTAGCCCAGCTCTTACCCTATTCCATTTGCTCCAGTGGGACCAGCTTTGTCCCTGTCCAGTGACCTCAGTGGAACCAGGTTCGGTCCTCAGTGGAACCAGGTTCGGCCCTCAGTGGAACCAGGTTGGGCCCTCAGTGGAACCAGGTTGGGCCCTCAGTGGAACCAGGTTCGGCCATCAGTGGAACCAGGTTCGGACCTCAGTGGAACCAGGTTTGGACCTTAGTGGAACCAGGTTTGGCTCTCGTGGAAGCAAGTTTGACCCTGGTCCAGTGCCCCCAGTGAGACCATGCGTGGCCCCAGTGGTACCATGTCTCTCCTTGTTCCAATGCTCCCAGTGGGACCATGTCTGGTCCTGTTACAAGGCCCCTGGTGGAATTGGGTCTGGCCCTGTTCCAGTGCCCCCTTCTGGGACCAGGCCTGGCCCTGTCTGTTCCAGACAATGGTGCTTTTGTCCAGAACTGACAGACACTGGTTTGAACTTTGAATTGACTAGGACGCGTGAAGTCATGGGCAATTTTGCAGTGATGCTGAAGTTGGGGGAGTGCAGTAGGGCAGTGGCAAACGTTGACGATCGATGGTGGTGGGACACCCTTGGTATCAACAGATGTATGGTGTTCTCTTATTCTCCTTTTTTTTTTTTTTTTTTTTTTTTTCCCACGTTTATCGTGCTCTGTTTTCTGTTGTATTTCTTTTTCAAAGGGGTGTAGTGTATCCCTTGACATAATTGTACCCATCAGGATTTGAGGCTTTGAGCTCATTGTCTGTTTATCGACAGCCGCATATGTGTTCCATTCAGCCGCAAGTCTGTGCACCACTTTCACCTTGTGATTACTGTCCTGAACGGGAATCTTTCTGACACATTGTGGCGGATTCGCTCTGAACTTGATAGGAACGCGCAAATGCATTGATGGAAAGGCGGACTGCCGACGATGCGGATGAGCTTGCAGAAGCCGAAGCTTCCGTGTCAGCGGCTATGGCTGCCATGAAACGAGGAGCCAATGCTGCTGCCGTCGCCTCGTCGGCAGCGGCTGCGGCAGCGATGTTCACGAGAGAAAGGGAGAACCTGCCGCCGGAACTCGACGAGTTTGGGAGGGACTTGAACTTGCAGAAACGGTAGGTCGCACACCAAACGTCTATTTCGTTGGACTCGAACCAGAGATTTCTGTCTGATTTCATTTCTGATGAATTGTTGTTGCAGTGGTCCCTGTCGTAGTCTGCACGTCTCAAGTGTAACACCACCCCTCTGCCCTCCCTCTCTTCCTCAAATATTCTCCCCCAGTCCTCTCTCTCTCTCTCCCCGCATTTTAGTCTCGTTGTTGTTGTTGTTGTTGTTGTTGTTGTTTTTATTTATTATTTTTTTTAATGCACAAAACGGTACCGAATGGGGTCGGCTCCAAATCCATTCCAGGGAAGCATCAATTGAGTTCCGTTTCCTGTTATGACCCTGGCCAATTTCGAGATGCACATCCATCGGAAAGTGCATTGCCATCCAATTGCAGAAAGAAATGAATGAACTTGAGAGGAGAGAGAGGATTAGAAGAAGGAGAAGAAGAAGTAAGAAAGAAGAAGAAGATGATGTACACCGGCAAAAACAGATGATAAGGCTCTTCTTCTTCGCCCAACAATCTCCTCCTCCTTATCTCCCCCTTCTCTTATTCATACAAGAAATAATAATACAATGTTGAATGACTGATCCAGAATCAATGTCCGAGTTCCTCTACTACTGCAGGTATCACTTGAGGTCCACCATAGCCATGGCCGCCTCTCCCACTCTTCACTCTCATAGGCCGAGGCTATGGCGGACTACTAGGCTCTGCTCAGATGCCCAAAGGACAACCCAAAGCAGCTATGGCTGCTCTAGCTCAGGCCGCCATGCCTGACCCTGCYTYGAAGCTTCTTGGTGTAGCTCTCCCCAGTTGGGGACTCCCTGCTGCAGCGCCCACCAAGGTGATGAAGATGGCTGCCACCATAGCCAGGTAAGTACCCCTGGCGCTCCACCCCCTTCTTTCCTTCTTCCTCCCTCATGTCCTTCTCCTTCCTCCCCAGCAGCGCTGCTCCAACCAGCGCTCCACCAGTGTGTCGCCAAACTTGCACACCGAAAAAGAGGCCGGACTCTCCGCCCGGTCCGAAGATATAGCGGCCTGCTTTGCCTCTTGGGCGGTGACTTCCAGGCCGCTTGGCCTCCCAAGCAACCGGTACCCCCTCCTTTTTGGAGGGAAACATCATTGCAGACTCTGATATTGCCCGTACAGGCCCTAGACTCAGACTGGTATCCGCCTAGACCTAGCCTACACTACTGGGCCTCTAAAAATGCCACTTTTGTCTTCTTCTGCTCGGCATCCGGTACCTGCACATCTACCCCTTCCAGGTGCGGTACCGGCCTACCCGCTACTCGAATGCTTTTCCCTGCTGCAACCCCTTAATGTCACGGCCACAGGTAAGTACCGGCCCTGAGGGCCCAACGAACGAGCAAGTGCCCTGACGGGCCACACACATACTCATGCCAACCAGCACTCAGACAGGCAAGGTCACACACACACCCAAGCCAACCAACACTCAGACGGGCGTGGTCACACACACACTCAAGCCAACCAACACTCAGACAGACATGCAGTCCAGCAAGCGTGCACACACAGACTTAGTAGCAGGCGGGAAACTCAGCAAGGCATTCAGTCTATGAGCAAAACTCAGAAATCAGCTGTGTGTTTCAGTCCATGTTTGGACGGGTCATCACATTCCTCTCTTTTTCTATTAATTTGGACCATTTCTCGATTTATGCTTGTCATCCTTGGACAGGGGCCATGCTAATTTTGTATGTATCGTTCCAATTTTAACGGATGGCAAAAAACACAAGAAAAAGACACTCCCCCCGGAGTCAACAAGGAGCCAGAACCATCAGGACCTGTTAAAGAAGAAGAAGAAGAAGAAGAAAGACCGATGGGCCGAGCTCAGTTGGGTGTACACCCATGAACTGCTAAAATGCAGACCCTCTTCGCATCAACTTCTGCAAGTTTCTTTTTGTTTTTGCTTTTCTTTTTTCTTAAAAGCTGTTGTGTGTTTTATCCGGAGGCCGAGCCCTGCCGTCTTCACCCGAATACAACGGACGGTCATTATAGCTGTATTTGGGGTATCTTTTCAGTCTAAATACAGCAGTAATGACCATACGTTGTATGCGGGTGAGGACGGTAGTAGTTTTTAAAGCTCGTTTTACTTGTCAAGATGTGCACCAGGGTCTGCCTGGTGAAAGTCCGATGCACCTTCTGGAGGGTTTTCTCTCTTGGCCAATGAAATGCATGAAGATGAATTGTTGCTACTCGATCGGGAAAAAACTTCAAAAAAGTCATGAAAAAAACGATTACTAGTGTCTGTTACTCTTCTTTTGGTAAAGCCATTTTCCAAGGTTGCAGATAAGGGAGTGGGTATGGTGTAGATAGAGGACTAGGTAGTGGGGGGGTATTATTAACATGGGCATTGAAATCAGGCTGGAGGCGAAGAAGAGACTGGAGGCCAGAGCAAGGCGCCGGGAGAAGGCAAGCTTGCGAAGAGCCGAGAAGCTGTCGGCGATAAATGTAAATGGAGGCAGAACTGCTGGGTCTGGGACAGTGGCTACACAACCGCAAGTATCCATAGAGGGAGAAAGCAGCAGTGAGGAGAGCGAGTGCGAGCAAGCGGCATACAAATCACGGCGAGAAGACATTCTTACGATGGCGGCCGCTGTATGATCTTCAACCTTTCTTTGTCCTCTTCTTTTAAAGAAGGAATTAAACCCTTACATTTTATTGTTTTGAACGCATGAGCTGTCTTTTATTATTACTAAATGTTTGTATACCTTTCTTTTCATCTGATTTGATGTTGGCTGGGGTAAGTAGGTTTATCCTTCTGTGTCTCAAGGAGCAGTGTCTATATATGTGCGCATGTTTGTTCGACGTTAAGTTTATCCCTCTGTGCCTTAAGGAGCAGTGTCTATATATGTGCGCATGTTTGTTCAACGATCCTAACTTTCCCTCTGTCTTACTTCGATCTTTCCTCTGCCCTTTGTCCACTCTCCCTTTGCTCTGCCTCTGTTTTTTCACAATGTGAAAGTGGGCCATAATGGCATGCGGGACGTACGCACCTGGCTCCCAAATACATCAATGTGCCGAGCATTGTACGTGAGAGGCACCGTAAAAAAGGGGGAGGTAAACGAAAGACATAAAAGAGGAACCGTGAAAAGAACCGAAATAAGGAAAGGAAAAGAAAGAGCTGCACAAGGAAAAAATCACTGTGCTTGATGCTGTTTGCTAAAATTTTCTTCGTTTGCTTTGCAAAGTGCACTCACTCTTTTAGCTGATCTATAGGTGCCAATTTTTGTGGGTGTTTTGCTGGCCTAGGTATGATGGGGTGTGAATCTGCAGTCTGTAGAGTTTTATGTCTGATGTGGTTGAGTGATAGTCTGCTTTGATTCTCGTCACAGACACGTTGAGGTCAGTGGTTGGTGGTTCCCACCCACCTCAGAGTATCGGTTGTTGGGCTGTCGTTGATGCTTAACCGCAACCGGGGTTAAGGTGGATTATCACTTGCTGTATCATCAGTTAGGGAACTGTGCAGACTGTGGAGGGTTCAGCCTCCTGACGAGTCGGTGAAACTCCAACTAAAGTTAAGTCACCAAAAAAAACAGTCTGTCGCATTTGCTGTCCTCTTCTCCCACCCTGCCTACGGTTCACCGGTCAGATCTCCATGACGATACATATATTATTACGTTACACACGCTGGCAGTGCACTTGGTCCAAAGTTAGGCCAGGTTCATTCGGTATTGAATGTCATGATAGTAACTTGCATAGTCGATAGCTTATCTATTTTGTTTTCTCTATTCTCTCCTTTGCTAATGAATGTATAGTACTTTTCGAACCCTGGGCCTTACCTTAGTCAACTGAAACTGGAAGATCATTCACTTTAGAGAGCTGCTGTGAGTATCCTCTCTTGGCTATTCCAATCAGTGACTGTCTATAGGTTGAATGGTCAACTAAAAGCTTGTCCTGTCTTCAAGCGCAACTTCAATCGCGACTTCGATCACGACTTCGATCACGACTTCAACCACGACTTCAACCACGACTTCAATCACGACTTCAATCACGACTCCAATAAGTGATTATCACATTGTGATCCTGCAAAGTGACTGCTATTCGGTGGCATCGACATGATGCGCTGCATGTGAAGGGCTTGTGCTTTCTCTCTCCACTTTTTTTTTTTAAGTTTTTCCAAATACGATCGGTTCTTGATTATAGTGTGTCATGCTAAGATTCTCTGTATTGCTCCCTTTTCTCGTCTCTGCTTTGGTTCATGAACAACAACTTGGGGAATAGAACGAAATCAGGACAGTGAGTGTCGTTTTCTGCTGCAGACTCGATGTGGAAAGTTCTCAGGTCTCTAATTTCTACCTTTTCTTTCCCCTTGTTTTATTTTTATTTTTTTATGTTGTCTTTTTGTTGTCTCATTTCTGTTCTTTCGTTTATAGCCAGCTTTTTTTTGTGACAAATGACTGTGTGTGAATTATTGAGGAGGTTGTAATGTGCAAATGATTACGCCGCTTCGTTTCCTTTTAGATCGAGAAGAATATAGATCATGCTGCAGTGTCATTGTACTCTCTGCTATTGGTGACCCGTGACAATCCTACATGACGGTGCTCATCATAACTCCTTGTGCCGCTTCGTTCGCCCTTTTTAACTGTGACCGCTAAGCAGGTTTTCAATGATGCGAGGGAGGATTTCGCAAAGCTATCGAAAGTCAAGGAGACACTGGAGCAATGGAAGAGGAAGTATCCTGGTACATACAGGTGACGTTTCTTCCAATCTTCAATGAATGATATCCGAATATTCGTTTCAGGCAGGGAGAGTATGTCTACCAGGAATGCTGGTGGGTGCATACGAGTCCCTTGTACCCCTTCACTGGCTGTCTTCAGGCAGGCACTCGAGGACCTCTAAGTCTTCTGATGGGACTAAATTAACACCCGGTGTTCCCGACACTTTTGTCCTTACGAATGCTACCTTCTTCATCCTTTTACAGCGCATCCCGATCATCAATGTGTATATAAGTAAGGTATCTTTACGATCCGATACTGTCATTAGATGAGGGTGTGTGGTATTCGGGGGAAGACGGAAAGCATGTGTTCCTCCTCTTTTCACCGCATTGCAGCTGGCACTTCATCTCTCTGTCAATTATTTTAAAGCGTGGTGATCAACGATAAGACGAGAGAAGACTAGAGGAGAGGAGACGAGACATACCTGTCTAATACATGATGTCTTCTGTACGATCGAACGGCCATGGTTGCAGGGATGCTTACTGTTCGCTGAGCGCGCCAGGTCTGTTTGCTCCTTATGTCCGGCTGGAACTGCTGAATTGGGACCCTATATATGGGGATGCAGCACTGGATACCATGTCTTGGCATAAGGAGCTTTTCATGTATGGATGGTCAGCAGACGATGCTGAGCCGCATCCGGATGACGATGATGGAAACCTGATACCCAAGGTGAGGGAGAAGTGAACCCTGCCTCGCCACACTTCTGAAGATTCAGATGCTCTCTCCTGTCTTGTAAAAATACCAGGCTGATCATTTTATCAAGAGCTGTTTTTAGAAAAAAGGCGTATCGTGAGCTGTTGATGAAAGACAGAGATCTCCTGTTCTTGTTGCTGCTCTCTTTTTCTTCTCTCACACATAAGCATTATGAAGACACTGAAAATGTAGTGAAGAGATTTTGCCCACCAGCTATCATCTGAATCGTTGCAAATAATTCTTCTTCTTCTTCTTCTTCTTCTTCTTCTTCTTCTTCTTCTTCCTCCTCCTCCTCCTCTTCTTATTGCCTACTACATTCTATTGAGGTTCTTCTGATAAGCAGCGCGTTTTCCGGCATCTATCAATGGTTTGCCGGAGAACGAGACTGAGAAAGTTGTGGCCATTGGAAACCACAGGCCGCTTGCAACCATTCGAACTGCCAAAAAAAGAAACGGAAACGAAAGAGGGAAACCAAAGTAATGATGGGCCTTGGCGCACCACGGACCAGACGGGAAAAAGAGAAAAAATACTCCGGTGTATCTTTTGGTGATCGACTGGAAGTTTCTCTTTTTTTTGTGCAGTTGGTGAGTGGGGCCGCAAAGTCTCCTTTCATCACATTTGGTGAGGGCTTCTCGTGAATTGAACAGTTCATGGTTGTGCCAACTGAGCTAGGCACATTTGGTTTTCAGAGGCGCATTTGTTTTCTCGAGCAGCACTGTGGGGATTCACCGTTCTGCTTGGAGCTGCATGGAAAGGAATAGGCAGGTACGAGCTGCGTGCAAACAGGCGTTCTGGAACTCTCTCTCTCTCTCTCTCTCTCTCTCTCTCTCTCTCTCTCTCTCTCTCTCTCTCTCTCTCTCNCTCTCTCTCTCTCTCTCTCTCTCTCTCTCTCTCTCTCTCTCTCTCTCTCTCTCTCTCTCTCTCTCTCTCTCTCTCTCTTGCTTGCTCTGTGCCTGTGGTGTTGCGCCTGAAGATGTGGAGAGTTCTATGGACACTCGGCCCACAATTGAAATAGGTGAGTTCGCCCGGTTTGCTGAAGTGCACCCTGTTATGATCCTGGCCAATTTCGAAGTACACATTCATCAGAAAGTTCAATGCTGTCCAATTGCAAAAGAAATGAATGATCTTGAGAGGAGAGAGAGGGAAAGAAGAAGAAGAAGAAGAAGAAGAAGAAGAAGAAGAAGAAGAAGAAGAAGAAGAAGAAGAAGAAGATGAAAGAAAGAAGAAGAAGATGTACACCAGCAAAGACCAAGGAGAATTCCCTTCTTCTTCGCCAACCACTCCCCTCCTCCTTATCTCCTCCCCTCTTGTTCAAACAAGAAATATAATAGTAATGTTGAATGGCTGAACCGGGATCAATGTCCGAATCCCTCTTCTACTGCAGGCATCACATGAGGTCCACCATAGCCATGGCCACCCTTCTTCCTCCTTCCACGGCCGAGGCTATGGCGGACTACCAGGGCACCGCCCTGCTGTGCAAAGGAGAACACAAAGCAGCTATGGCTGCTCTAGCTCAGGCCGCCATGCCTGACTCTGCCTCGAAGCTTCTTGGTGTAGCTCTACCCTAACGGGGACCTTCCAGATGCAGCGCCCACCAAGGTGATGAAGATGCATCCATGATAGCCAGGTAAGTACCTCTGGCGCTCCTCCTTCCTAGTCCTGGTCTTCTTCCTCCTCCTGTCCTTGCTCCTCCCCGCTCTTGATCCTTAGCGCTGCTCCAGGCAGCGCTCCAACCAGCGTGTCATCAAACTTGCACACCGATAATGAGGAGGAGCACCTCGCTCCTCCTGGAGATATAGCAGCCTGCTTGCCTCTTGGAGAGTGACTTCCTAGGCTGCGCGGCCTCCAAGCAACCGGTACCTCCTCCCATTCGGAGGGAAACATCATTGCAGACTCTGATATTGCCCGTACAGGCTCTAGACTCCGACTGGTTGGAATGGTACTTGCCTAGACCCATCCTGGAATGCTTTAACTGCAACCGGCGTTAAGGGGAGGGTGCATAAGAGGGCATTTGACTGTTGTTAGGTGTGTGTGTGTGTGTGTGTGTGTGTGTGTGTGTGTGTGTGTGTGTGTGTGTGTGTGTGTGTGTGAGAGAGAGAGAGAGAGAGAGAGAGAGAG